GCGGAGGGAGAGGAGGAGGGAAAGGAGGAGGGAGAAGGAGGAGGGAGAAGGAGGAGGGAGAAGGAGGAGGGAGAAGGAGGAGGGAGAAGGAGGAGGGCGGAGGGAGAGGAGGACCTCGTGCCGAGCCATCGCGCGCAGCCTCTTCGCCTTGTCGGTCGGGGCGCGGCCGCGAACGTACTCGACACCGACCACGCGCCTGACGGCAGGAGGGGCAGGCCGGAGCAGAAAGGGGTCAGGACAGGCGGCAGCGGCGGTAGGGTGAGGGAGCGTCCAGCGCGTACCATCTCTGGGGCGATCTCGGAACATCTCGGCCGATCTCGGAACATCTCGGCCGATCTCGGAACATCTCGTCCGATCTCGGAACATCTCGTCCGATCTCGGCCGATCTCGTCCAATCCGTCCAATCTCGTCCGATCTCGGAACATCTCGTCCGATCTCGGAACATCTCGGCCGATCTCGGAACATCTCGTCCGATCTCGGAACATCTCGGAACATCTCGTCCGATCTCGTCCGATCTCGTCCGATCTGACCTGCCCTCGACGACGAGCCTCGTGGCCAGCGCGTGCGTCTTGACGAGCGGGGGCGCGCGGTACCCCGCGCGTCGGTCGGCGCCGAGGAAGGCCGCCGCAGCCTAATTACTTGACCGTGCACGAGCTCATTCACCAGCGGAGTCACGAACACCGTCGGAAGGCGGTGCCGCAGCCGAGTCTCGCAGCCCGTCCCGAATCATGAACTGGTACCGCCCGAACCTGAGGTGGTGCGAGACCCGGTGTCGGCCCGGGGCAGTGAGAGAGGGAGAGACGAGAAGAGAGGCGGTGAGAGGCACCCGATGCCGGCCCGGGGCAGTGAGAGAGGGAGAGACGAGAAGAGAGGCGGTGAGAGGCACCCGATGCCGGCCCGGGGCAGTGAGAGAGGGAGAGAAGAGAAGAGAGGCGGTGAGAGGCACCCGATGCCGGCCCGGGGCAGTGAGAGAGGGAGAGACGAGAAGAGAGGCGGTGAGAGGCACCCGATGCCGGCCCGGGGCAGTGAGAGAGGGAGAGAAGAGAAGAGAGGCGGTGAGAGGCACCCGATGCCGGCCCGGGGCAGTGAGAGAGGGAGAGACGAGAAGAGAGGCGGTGAGAGGCACCCGATGCCGGCCCGGGGCAGTGAGAGAGGGAGAGACGAGAAGAGAGGCGGTGAGAGGCACCGATGCCGGCCCGGGGCAGTGAGAGAGGGAGAGACGAGAAGAGAGGCGGTGAGAGGCACCCGATGCCGGCCCGGGGCAGTGAGAGAGGGAGAGACGAGAAGAGAGGCGGTGAGAGGCACCCGATGCCGGCCCGGGGCAGTGAGAGAGGGAGAGACGAGAAGAGAGGCTGTGAGAGGCACCCGATACCGGCCCGGGGCAGTGAGAGAGGGAGAGACGAGAAGAGAGGCGGTGAGAGGCACCCGATGCCGGCCCGGGGCAGTGAGAGAGGGAGAGACGAGAAGAGAGGCGGTGAGAGGCACCCGATGCCGGCCCGGGGCAGTGAGAGAGGGAGAGACGAGAAGAGAGGCGTTGAGAGGCACCCGATGCCGACCCGGGGCAGTGAGAGAGGGAGAGACGAGAAGAGAGGCGGTGAGAGGCACCCGATGCCGGCCCGGGGCAGTGAGAGAGGGAGAGACGAGAAGAGAGGCGGTGAGAGGCACCCGATGCCGGCCCGGGGCAGTGAGAGAGGGAGAGACGAGAAGAGAGGCGGTGAGAGGCACCCGATGCCGGCCCGGGGCAGTGAGAGAGGGAGAGACGAGAAGAGAGGCGGTGAGAGGCACCCGATGCCGGCCCGGGGCAGTGAGAGAGGGAGAGACGAGAAGAGAGGCGGTGAGAGGCACCCGATGCCGGCCCGGGGCAGTGAGAGAGGGAGAGACGAGAAGAGAGGCGGTGAGAGGCACCCGATGCGGTCCGGGCCGTTGAAGTCCTCGACGTGGGGGAGGCCGGCGGTGGAGAAGGCCTACTCGTCGAGGGAGACTGTGTGCAGGAAGTGTCGAGGGGGGTGTCTAGCGAGGTGTCTAGGGAGGAGTGGCAGACGTCGAGGAAAAAGTCGGACAGCTCATCGGAAGCGACGGTCGTGACACGGACCGGCCCGCCGGTGCCGTGCAGCGGAGAGGTGCCGAACTGCTCGTTGTCTTCGGAGCGCTTGTAGAAGGGGAGCACCTGCGGCGCCGAGCGGGCCGCCAGTGGGAAGCGAGGGGACGGGCGCGGTGCAGCCGCAGCTTGCTGCCGCACGTCGTCCCACGACCAGCCGGCTCCCCACTCGGCAAAGTCGGCAGGCCGGCCGCGCATGTAGAGCATGGCGTTGTGGATGCCGCAGCCGCCCAGCCCGCGCGCGATGGCGGGCGGCGGGTCGGCGGGCACCACCCACTGGAACTCCTTGGACCAGCGGTGATCAGAGAGCACCTGCACCCAGCCGAGCGGCACATCGAAGATGGTCCACTTGCCAGCCACGGGCTCCGCGTCGCCGCCGAGCGAGATCTGCGTCGAGCCTCCCGCCTCGAGCACGAGCACCGAGTAGCCAGCCTCGCCCAGCCGGCCCGCAACCACCGCGCCGGTCGAGCCGCCGCCGACCACGATGTAGTCAAAGACGGCCGGGCCGCCGTCCGCAAAGAGGTAACGGACGATCGACCACGCGGAGAAGGCGAGCAAGAGGAGCAGGCCGACCTCACGGAGCATCCACGCACCGTCTCGCGGCCACCGTCGCGCTCTCGGTGGAGCAAGAGCGATAGCCGCGAGCAAAGCGCGGCCGCGAGCAAAGCGAAAAATGAAACGAACAAAGACCGAGCAAAAGGCCGCCGCAGCGGGAGGCATTGCACACTGACAGGATGAGAGGTAGTCAGGTCGACTAGTCCCCATCCCCGTCGTCCCAATCTCCCTACCAGTCCTCGCCAAGAAAAAGAAAAAAAACGCACAACGAGTGGCTGGCACAGCCCGCGCCGGCGCATCACACACCTGTCCTTAAAATCCCTGTGTGGTGGCGGCGTGCCGTCCTCCCATCCGTCGACCCCATTTGTTTCTTTCTTTTAGCCCGCGCCGGCCGCGTGTAGTGCCCGCCCTCCAGCGTCCCTCTCGCACAGAGATGGGCGAGCCGGTGATCAAGTTCCGAAACTACCAGCCCAAGACGGAGCTCGACCAGCTCGGTGCCGAGACGGTGGAGAAGGCGGCCGTGCCGGACGTCGAGGAGGCGCTGCAGGTGCGCCGCCGGCAGTAACCCGCGGCGGCGGCGGGATGCTCAGTAGCCCGCGCCACGCCGGAACGCGCAGGCTGGCAGCTCGGACGTCGCGCACACGGATCCGACCCAGGAGCCGCTCCTCAACCTCGCGCCCAAGAAGGTGAACTGGGACCTCAAGCGCGACATTGAGCCGCAGATGAAGAAGCTGCGAGCCGCGACCGACCGCGCCATCATCGAGCTCATCAGAGAGTGCGCGCGCGTCCGAGCCCTCCGCACGCACACCTCTAGCCCATGTCGTGGCGCCTGCGCGCGCGGTCCGACCCACGCCCGCCCACACTGCACGGCGTGTGCACCCGGCTCCTGCGCACGACTCAGGGCCGAGGCGCGAGCGAGCCCCCCCCCCCCCCCCTCGATAACAGGCGCGTCACCAAGGAGGGCGGCGAGACCGACCTCTCCACAGCAGTCAGCCAGGCAGCCCAGGAGGCGGCCAAAGACGAGTTGTGACGATAATCGAGTTTTGTGCACTTGTGTTGCCTCCCCGCTCGGAGCTTTGTTTTCCTATTTTTGAAAGAGCGCGGTTTCTCTTTCTTACATCTATTGGAGCGCCCAAACACGGGTCTGGCGCGCACTGGGAAAGAAAACGTGCTTCCCTAAGGACTATTGTGCGCCTCGGCAAGGGCCCAAGCTCTGGGCCGGCGGCGGCGCGGGGGCCCCAGAGGGTGTCCATGCGGGGGGGAGATGGGGTCCCATGGCCCGCCGCAGGCGCCGATTTTTTGGAGTTTTTTTCTTTTTTCGCGATTTTTTACTTGTTTTCATGGGAATTCGGCGTACTTGCGGCCATGCTATCACGCCTTGCGACAGCCTGTCGGCGCTGCTGACCGTGCCATGCTGCACAATTGATCACCTGCATAGCTCGCGGCCTTTGTATCAAGCATTCAGTGATGACGTGATCGTACGGCCAGTAGGAAGGTGTCCTTCCAGCTGCGTGCACGCTTCTGGCGCAATGCGCGTCACCTCGGATTGGCTGCTGGCACTCTCGAGGCTATGCCTACACAGCCTCGCGCGCATGGGCAGTCAAGAGGGACCACGCACCTTCTCAGGACAGCGCCGGCGCCTCTCTCTTGGACCGGCAAACTTGGTGGTCTCGTGTCACCAATGTGGGACCAGTGCGGCATCGCGCCATCGACAGCTCTGAACTGCGCCTCACCACTGACCGGGAAGGCCGCCAAGTGGGCCAGCACAGGTCGCACATTGTGGCAGCAGTCAGCAGTGCATGGCTGATAGCTAGAGCAGCAGCGTCAGGGTCGCAGGGTCGGATCGTGTCAAGCCTCTCGCCCGGCCGGCCGCGTGCAGACGTCGGCCTGTCTGCTGTCTGGAGTGATCTGTCGGCGGTCAGTACGACCGATCATGTCGGAGTTTTCTGATGGTTGGAGGGTCTATCTGTATGTACTCCTCGAGATCTCTCCAAATCTGCCCTCTGATCAACCGTGATCATTCGGGAAGTCGGTGCTCATAGAGACTCATAGAGCCGGAGCCCCGTTTCCGCACTGCGGCGCGGCGCACGGTGCCTCCGGGGGGCCCCGCGCCGGCCCAGAGGGCCCAAGGCGGTTCCGGAGACATCCCCCCGGAGATTGCGAGCGTCTGGTGGGACTTCATCCTGACTTCATCTTGCCATGGGCTCTACAACGCGCCCTTCCACCCGTACGCGCCGATGCATCCGTTCCCAATGATGCCCCCTCCCCCGCACAGATGATGCACCTGCCGCCGCCGCAAGTTGGCATGCACGGGCTGGCCCAGCAGACGTGGATGCGCGGGGACGACTTGCAGTCCAAGAACAAGGAGGCGCACAAGGCAGCAGAGGGCGTAAAGCACGGTCATCCATGATCCATTGCGAGGGCGCGCTAGGTGGAAGTACCGTTATGTGCGAGTAGGATGCGAGTGGGAAGCGGACGCGTCCACACGTCCCCCTACCTCTCAAAGAGCCAGAACCCACCGGTACATAGTGCCAATGCGCGGGATTCCTGAGCTGCTCCGCGCAGCGGTGCTAGCGGTTGATCGAGGCGAGGAGGAGGCGGTGCTGGCGTGGCTCGACGGCGGTGGGCGGGCCGACGCGACGTACGAGAGAGGCAAGTTTAGTGGCCTCACGCTGCTGATGGGCGCCGCCCACTACGGCCACAAGCGGTTGGTCGAGCTGCTGCTTCAGCGCGGCGCGGATGCCAACCTGCAGAACAGCGACGGCTGGACCGCGCTGATGCTCGCCGCCCGCAGCGGCCACGAGCGGGCGGTCGACCCGCTCTTGCGGCACGGCGCGGAGGTCGACAAGAAGAACCGCAACGGCGGCACCGCGCTGACGTACGCCGCCCAGGAAGGCTACGAACGGGTGGTCGACTTGCTGCTGCGGCGCGAGGCGAAGATCAACCTGCAGAACAGCGACGGCCTCACCGCGCTGATTTTCGCCGCTTTCTTCAACCACCCCGCCGTCGTGCGGCGCTTGCTGCGGGCGGGCGCAGACGCGGCGGCGCGCACTGTTGGCGGCAAGACGGCGCTGCAGTATGCCAAGGAGAAGGGCCACGCCGAGTGCGTCGATGCCTTGTCGGAGGCGGCGGCGGCTGCCGACGGCCGGGCAGGGGCGGGCGGCGCCTCCTCGGGCGCGGCAGCGGCAGCTGAAGACGCGCCGCTGCTCGGCCAGCGAGTAGAGCTCAGCGGGCTCTCCTCCCGCCCCGAGCTGAACGGGCAGCGGGGCGAGGCGCGGAGCTTCGAGGGCGGGCGGTACGCGGTGGCGCTCGAGGGCAGCGGCGAGAGCGTGCGGGTGCGGCCGGGTAATCTGTCGCCGGCGGCGGCGGAGCTGAACGGTGCCTTGGCAGTCTCCGACGCGGTCGTGATAGCGGCGGAGCGTGGCGAGGAGGCGGCGGTGCTGGCGTGGCTCGAGGGCGGCGGGCGGGCTGACGCGACGTTCAAGAGAGGCGGCGTGAGCGGCCTCACGCTGCTGATGCGCGCCGCCCGCTACGGCCACGAGCGGGTGGTCGAGCTGCTGCTGCAGCAAGGTGCTGATGTCAACCTGCAAGACAGCGACGGCATCACCGCGCTGATGGGCGCCGCCCGCTACGGCCACGAGCGGGTGGTCGAGCTGCTACTGCGGCGCGGCGCGGAGATCAACAAGCGGGGTAGCCACGGCATCACCGCGCTGATGTTCGCCGCCCTCCTCAACCGCCCCGCCGTCGTGCGGCGCTTGCTGCGGGCGGGCGCTGACATGGCGGCGCGCAATGCGAACGGCATGACGGCGCTGCAGTGGGCCAAGGAGAAGGGCCACGCCGAGTGCGTCGAGGCCTTCAAGAAGCACGTCCAGGAGGTGGTGGCGGGACGGCCCACGGCGACGGCAGCCGGCGGCGCAGGCGCAGGCGGCGCTTCCTCCGGCGGCGCTTCCTCGGCTGGATCGAGAGTCGCGAAGACGCCATCTCCAGCGGTGGCGGCGGGGCGGGCGTCGAGCGGTGGCGTGGCAGTCTCCGTTGAGGTCATCGCAGCGGCTGAGCGAGGCGAGGAGGAGGCGGTGCTGGCGTGGCTCGAGGGCGGCGGGCGGGTCAACGCGACGTACGAGAGAGGCGGCGTGAGCGGCCTCACGCTGCTGATGGGCGCCGCCAACCACGGCCACGAGCGGGTGGTTGAGCTGCTGATACGGCACGGCGCGAAGATCGACCTGCAGAGCAGCAACGGCCTCACCGCGCTGATAAGCGCTGCTTTCTACGGCCACGAGCGGGTGGTCGACTTGCTGATCCGGCGCGGCGCTGATGTGGAGACGGCGGTCGCAGAATCAGCCGAACAGGCGGCGGAGGCCGCACGCGAGGCGGCAGCGGCTGCGGAGGCGGCGGAGGCGCGCGATGCAGCCGAGGCGGCGCTGCGCGAGGCAGTTGAGGCGTGCGGCCGAGGCGACGCCGATCTCGAGGCGCTCAGGGCGGCGATCAACGCAAACACCGAAGGCGCCGACGGTTCGGAGGCGCTGGGGGCGGCGCGGCGGCTGCGCGACGAGCTGGCGGAGCGAAAGGCCCGCGAGGCCAGGGCGCTGAAGCGGCAGCGGCAGAAGGAGGAGAAGGCGGCGGCGAGGCAGGCGGCGGCGGCGGCGCAGGCGGCGGAGCGGGCGGCGGAGCAGGCGGAGGAGGCGCGGGCCACAGAGCAGGCGCGGGCGGCGGAGGAGGCGGATCGGGTGGTAGCAGAGGCTGCGGCGGCGCGGGCGGCGGAGGAGGCGGAGGAGGCGGCGCGGGCAAGGGAGGAGGCAGAGGCGAGGGCAAGGGAGGAGGAGGCAAGAGAGGCGGCAGCGGAGGTAGCGGCGGCGGCGGAGGCGGCGGCGGAGGCGGCGGCGGAGGCGGCGGCTATAGAGGCGGCAGTGGCGGCAGTGGCGGCGGCGGAGGCTCAAGAGGCGGCGGCAGCGGAGGCGGCGGCCGCGGCAGCGGCGGCAGCGTCGGCAGCGGCGAGTGTCGCCGCCCTCGCCGCCGCCGCCGCGCCGCCCGCCGCCGTCCCTCTCGACGAGCTCATCGCGGCGACCGACGGCTTTGCCGAGGCGCGAAAGGTGGGCGAGGGAGGTTTTGGGCGCGTCTACCGCTGCGACGCGCTGCCGTCGCTCCCGCGCGTCGCTTGCGGGTTCGCCGTCAAGACGGCGCTGGTCGGTGTCGGCGCCCAAGGCCTCGCCGAGCTGCAGAGCGAGGTGCGCACGCTCAGCGCGGCGTGCCACCCGTCCCTCCTCCCTCTACTCGGCGTCTGCTTGGCGCCGGCGAGAGCGTGCCTCGTCTACCCCCTCTGCCGCGGCGGCAGCCTCGAGGACCGCCTCTACCGCGCTCCAGCCGCACTGCAGCGGCTCCGCATGCTCGGCTTCGAGAGGCCGCCTCCGCCGCTCTCCTCTGCCGAACGGCTCCGTGTGCTGCGCGACGCGGCGAGTGCGTTGCACTACTTGCACACGCGCTCACCCATGATCCTGCACCGCGACGTCTCGGCGGGCAACATCCTGCTCGACGAGCGCGGCAACGGCTACCTCGCCGACGTGGGCCTCGCGCGCGCGGCAGAGGCAACAGCCGGCGCCAATGGACAGGTCTCGCACCTGTCAACGCAGCGTATCTTTGGGAAGCCTGGCTACATGGACCCGATCATCTCGCTGGACAACCAGGCTTCGCAGCTGACTGACGGTTTCGCGCTCGGCATCACACTACTCGTCAGCCTAACCGGCCGCGGCGCCGTTGGCTTGCTCAACGCGTGCGACGATGCATTGGAGGAGCCCGACATGGCGGAGGGCATCGCGGCGGCCGACGCGGGCTGGTCGGCGGCGCAGGCCGAGGAGCTGACGCGGCTGGTGGCCGGGCTGGCGTACGAGAGGAAGCGGAAGCGGATGCCGCTCGCAGACGCACTGCCGCGGCTGGAGGCGCTAGTCGAAGCGGCGGGGGAGGTGGAGGAGACGGCTGGGGCCGAGGAGCGCCAGTGTGACCTCTGCTACGACTCGCCGCGCTCGGTCCGCTTCGCGTGCGGCCACGCGCTGTACTGCGAGACATGTGCGCCGCGCGTGCTGGAGCGCGACACCAACTGCCCGGCTTGCCGCCAGCCGGCGCTGCCCATCGCCGCAACTGGGCGGCTGGTGGCGGCGCAGGCGACGTTTGTCCACCAGCCGCCCACTCGCGCTGTGCCACACCCACCGCCCAGTTGGGCGGCTGGTGGCGCGGCGGTGGTCGGGGGGCGAGGGGGGCGTGGGCGCGGTGGGCGCGGCGGGCGCGGCGGGCGGGGTGGGCGTGGGAGGCCACGGGACGAGGGGCGTGGCGCTGGTGGCTCGTAGCTGCTGTACACGTTTGTCCACCAGCCGCCCTCGCGCAGTGCCTTTATTTATTTATCTGCACACTGCGATAGTCTTGTAGTTACGCGACGCGCGAGCCTTCCGCGTTCGGTTTCTCAGGAATCACGCAAGCCGCTCGTTCAACTCCGTCCGCAGGGGCTGCATTTGTGGACGACCCCCCCCCCCCCCCCCTGTCCTTGCTGCCACCCGCCTCCCTGCGGGTGTAGAAGAGCGCCGCCTGCTCGGCGGTGACGGAATAGCGAGGGTGCCAATTGGTGAGTGTTGTTTGGTAACAACATATCGTGTATATTGAGATTGTAACGAGCGAGGGGTGAGGGGGACGCGCTGGCGGCTGGGGATCTAACCGCGCCATTCGCTCTCACCTGGCAACCCTGTCTGCACGTCTCGCGCGCGCGTGAACAGGGCTAGACCCGCGGGAGAGGGGAGACGTGTGTATCGCGCGCCTTGCGGGGGGGGCGCGGAAAAGAGGAACCTCTTAGCGCCATCGCCATGGCGCTGCAAGCAGTGCCGGGCGACGACGACTTACCGCCTCCCGGTCCCCCTCGGCACACCTCCGCTGCTCAATGTTTGACGGCTCGAACCCGTGAAGCTTCCCCGTGCGCGGGTTACCCCGCACACGGGTCAGCCTGCCAGCAACAAATCCACGCAAGCGTGGTCCGCGTGCATGGCATACAGGCGTCCGCCAGACAGCGCAGAGGCTAGGCGACCGGGGAAGGACTAGCTCTAGGGCAACACAGCGTCACCAGCCGTTGGCGCGCAGAACGAGTCTGCGGCCCTCCTTAAAAAAACACGAGACGCGGTGCCCTCCTTTAAAAAAACGCCGAAAACAAGGCATTCAGCGAGCACATCGCAAGGCGACACGCTGTCCGAATGGCTAACGTCGACGAGGAGCTGGAGCTGCGCTCGGACGCTCTCGGCCCGGTGCCAAATCCGATCAACGGAGGCGACAAGGTGTACCTGCAGTGCTCGGCCCACACCGGCCCGATTCGGGCAGCCTTTGAGTCAGCACTCGGCGTCAAGGTCCAGCACGGCGTTTTTGGCGGCAAGATCTGGAACATGCTGCTGCAGCTCGAATCGACCGACCGCGTCCAGGCAGTGGAGAAGCTGGAGGAAGAGCAAGGCATCTCGCGCGCGACCATACAGCGCAAGGGCAAGCCAGTGTACGTGGTGCGCATATTCGCCTCTCGCTCTCTCTCTGACCTCCTGGTGCCATGTACGGACCCTATCCTCTCCTGTATGGCAGGTGTACATGTCAAAGAAGGAAAGGGAGAAGCGCAAGAGCCAGACTCTGGAGGACACCCTCTCGGAGCGTGCCAAGTTGATCGAGATCCCGGAAGAGCAGCTCGCAAAGATCGACGCGTGCTGGCTGAAGGAGGAGGAGTACAAGGAGGTGTGCAAGGCGCTGCACGAGGACCAGCACGACTGGACGGGTGTCAACTCGCGTGTCAAGTCGATCTCGAAGCAAGCGTTCCTTAACACGCGAGTTGACACGGCGCCAGCCTTCCGCGCCTTTGAGGAGCGCGCCGCTGCCTTTACGGCGCAGAAGGAGGAGAAGGACACGCACAAGCTCGAGCAGCTGATGAAGTCGGCGGAGGCTGAGCTGAGCTTTGCCAAGGAGAAGCTGGCCACCTGCCGCGAGGACAAAAAGAACTTCACTTCCGACCTGCGCAAGTACTACGAGCGGCGCGACGAGCTCAAGGCTGAGGCTGTCAATCTCGCGCTCGACTCGTACTCTGACCATGCCAAGATCGCGGAGATTCAGCTAAAGCGGCGGCGCCTCATTGACACCATCTCTGAGACGGAGGGCAAAGTCTCGTCGCTCGCCGTCTCTATCTCGGAGTACGAGAAGCGCACCAAGGAGCTGGAGACGAATATCGAAGACCTGGCGGCCAAAGTCGACCCGAAGACCGACGGGCAGCCGTCGTCGAAGCGGCAGCGGCTCTGACTCGGTCGGTCGGTCGGTGTCTTGGCATCTTCCATGGCGCCGGGCAGAAGCGGCTCTAGGCTCCCCTAGCTGCAAGACAAGAGCATGCGCGCTAGTAGTCGGGTCCGCCGTCCCTGACGGCATATCCTGTGCAGATAGGTAGCTAATAGGTTTCGAGTCCTTTTACGGCTCTAGGAGGCCCGTCGCGACCGTCACAGACTCGCTCAAGACTCACCAAAACACCGCGAACACCGCTGTTTCAAACAGCATGCACAGGCACAGCATGAACATCACATGGCTCATGGGACAGATCTCGCTCGCGCCTCGCGCCCCGGATATCCCCGGCGAGCACAAGGCAGCAAGCGCACACAGCTCCGGCGCACGCACAGCACCACACATGGGATGAGAGAGAGACGATCAGGGAGGAGACGCCACGTGGACACGAGGGAGCAATATCCGGCCGGCGGGGCCGGGGGGGGGGCGCTGTGGCGGGCGTGCCATCTAGTCTCCCCGCTCGGGCAGCGGGAGCGGCTCAGCGCCCAGCACGCCCGCCTCGTGGAGCAGCGCATGCACGTCCCTCAGTGCGGTCTCCATGCGGGCCGCCATCTCCACCACCGCAGCCTCGACCTACGCGGAGGGACGGGCTCTCTCGAGGTCTCGAGGCCGCTGCGCAACCCTTGCCCTCTCGCCCGCCCTCCGCAGCCCCGCACCCCCTCGCGGTGCGACCCGAGCCGCGCGAGGAAGTCGGCCCGGCTCGGCGCCGCCCAGATCGCCGCGGCGACCACCCGTCGCGTGAACGGGTCTTGGTGCGGCCGCAGCGTCGCGTCGTAGGCCGCGTGCAGGCACTCTGCGAGGACAGCGCCGCCCTCGGCCCCTACCCGCGCGAGCGCGTCGTGCAGCATGCGCAGCAGCCTAGGAACGAGTCATTAGTCACCGTCAATCCCTACTCCAGCCGAGCGCGTCGTGCAGCATGCGCTGGCTGCCGGCAGAGCCACAGCAGAGCGAGCGCGGCCGACCCCTCCTTTGCCGCCTCACCGCGCACGCACGCCCCCTCCCGCACCTCCCTCGCCACGAGGGCGCGCAGCGTGCGCTCGGGGGACAAGCGGCGCGCCGCCGCCGCCAGCTTGTCCGCGTTCTTCCGCAGCTCGCGCGCCACAGGAGCAAAGGTGGCCCCGAGGTGGTCCAGCACCTGGGCGTGTCGTGGGCGTGTCGTGGGCGTGCCGTGGGCGTGTCGTGGGCTGTGTCGTGGGCGTGTCGTGGGCGTGTCGTGGGCGTGTCGTGGGCGTGTCGTGGGCGTGCCGTGGGCGTGTCGTGGGCGTGTCGTGGGCGTGTCGTGGGCGTGTCGTGGGCGTGTCGTGGGCGTGTCGTGGGCGTGTCGTGGGCGTGTGGTGGGCGTGTTGTGGGCGTGCCGTGGGCGTGTGGTGGGCGTGTGGTGGGCGGCGTGTCTGGCCGTCTCTTGGACGTGTCCGTCTCCATACCTCGACCAGACCTCGGCTACTTCGGCCCGATCTCGGCCCGATCTCGGCTACATCTCGCGCCGCGACGGTGGCGTAGACCGCCGCAAGCAGCGCCTCGCAGGACGCCTGACTCGCAACCCAACCACCATCACAGTTCAGCAAAGAACGCCGCGAGCGGCGCCTCGAAGGTCGCCTCCCCCTCCCCCTCCGCGCCGCCGTCGTCGCCCCTCCGCAGCGCCGCCGGGTCGAGCGCCGCCCAGAGAGGAGCCACATCGTCGAGGGCGCAGTCGAGCCGCCGCAGCGCCTCGCGCCCGCTCCGCTGCAGCAGCGACGCGCCACCCTCGCCCGCCCCCACGCTCGCCGCCGCCCCCGCGCTCGCCGCGCGCGGGGACGTCCCCCGCGGAGAGGTCGCCCGCGGAGAGGTCGCCCGCGGACCCGCCTGCCCGCGCCTGCAGAATGGCGAGGGGCCGTCGAGCCGCTCGAGCCTCGCCCTCGCCCGCCTCCGCCGCCTCACCCTCGACGCGTCGGCGGGTGTCTCTGCGGCGGCGCCGTCGGTCACCCCTTGCAGCAGCGCCGGCAGCTGCCGGCAGCACTCCTCGAACCGCGTCAGGTCTCGCTCCGCGTCGAGCCAGAGCATCGAGCGCGCGTTGGCCGCGTGCCAGGCGGCGGACGTGGCAAGCGCCTTGACGCTCTTCGCCGTCTCCGGTGGCATCACCTTGGCGAGCTCGGCGGCGGCCTCCTCCAGCTTCCGCAGGTCGCGCGCCGCGTCGAAGAGCAGCAGGCGCCGCGTGTTTGACGCGTACCACGCCGCCGCGAGGGAAAGCTGCACCACGGCGGGAGCGGCGCCCTCGGGCAGCAGCGCCTCGAGCTGGAGGGCAACCTCCTTGGCGCGCTGTGCGTCGCGGTGCGACGCGCCCCACTGCAGCGTGCGTGCGTTGGCAGCCGCCCATGCCGCGTGGACGGTGAGCTCGGAGAGCGCCGACGCTGCCGCCCACGCGCTGGGAGGGATATCGGGCTGGCGGTCTGCGGCCGCCGCCTCCATCGCGGTCGCGAGCAATTGTCGGCCGGCGCTCCAAATACAAAATACAGCGAGTGGAGAGATTTTCCTGTCGGTGCGGCGAGGAGTGCTCGGGCGGGACGGCCTGGGCTGCGTTATTTCTTATTTCAGCTTTTTATAATCGCTGTCGTTGGATCGCTTGCCTCATGTGTGAGAGTGCTTTTCATTTTGTTTTGTTATTTTAGAGGAGACAAAAAATAGCGGTGGTGGTCCCATTGCATTCGCGCGACAACGATACCCCGGCATCGAAGGCCTTCAGCACAACCCGACGTCAGTGGGCGACCGGCACAGATGGACATGAAGCTGCCCGCCGAGCTGCGGTACGAGGCCAACGAGCACGTCGCGGTCATCACGCTCAACCGTCCGCAGGAGAGGAACGCGCTCGATGAGCGCCTCACGCTAGGGCTCCAGATAGCCGTGGCACGGATCAAGGCGTCGCCCGCCCTGCGCGTGGTCTTCCTGACGGGCAACGGCCCGATGTTCTGCGCGGGAGGCGACCCCAAGGGCTTCCAGCGGATGGCGGCGGCGGCGGCGGAGGAGAGCAGCGGCAACGGAGCCGACAACCAGTCGAACAAGAACGATGAGTCGGCGGTCGCGTTCGCAAAGCTGCTTCGCGAGCTGGACGAGCTTCCCGTGTACGTGGTGGCGCTCGCCAATGGCACCGCCATGGGCGGCGGCGTGGGCCTGCTCTGCGTCTGCGACTACGTCGTCATCAAGCACGCGGCATCGGTCGCGCTGTCCGAGGTGAAGCTCGGCGTCATCCCGGCGACCATCTCGCCGTACGTGGTGGGGAGGGTGGGGGCGGCGCGCGCGCGGCGGCTCTTCATGACGGGCGAGACACTGCGCGCCGAGCAGGCGCGCGACCTCGGCCTCGTCGATGAGGTCGTCGTCACGGATGCAGACCTGCGCGCCGCCGCGGACCGCATCCTGGCGGCGGCGCAGTCGGCGGCGCCGGGCGCGGCGGCGGCGGCCAAGGCGCTCGTGCGGGAGGTTGCGGCGGCGCCGCGCGGGAGCGACGAGATCCTCCGCTACACCGCCGCAGAGCTCGCCCGCGTGCGGCTGACGGACGAGTGCGCCGCCGGCATGAAGGCGGTGCTCGCGAGGGAGAAGCCGCCCTGGGCAAAGGCGCCGCTCGTGTACCCGGCGTGAGCGACACGCTCGGCCGGCGGCGGAAGCCTGCGACGGCTCTCCTACTCTGCTGCTCCGTGTCGGCTTGTCAGGGTGCGGCCGCGGCTACTTCTCTCGAGAAACCTACCCGGGGGCGCGGAGGAATATTTTTCGGTTCGCTTGTTGTCTGTTTATCATCTAGGTTAGGTATAGGAAGGTGAAGCGAACAGCCAGGCTCGGACTGGACACCGTCATCTCTAAAGCCTTCCGCTTCCCCGGCGCCCGGGGCCCGGGCACAGCCTTTCAATCTCTCTCTCAGCCTTTCGGTTCGTGAAGGGTCGGCGTTTATCTTTATGTGTGAAGGGTCGGTGCGTGTGAGAGAGATTTTTAGCAATACCAAACAACTTTGTGTTTTGCGTGTGCGGTGTGCCGTGTGGCGTACCCCCTCTGCGCTCTGGAACACCCGTACCCCCGCAACATCTCCGTCGCTTGGTTGCTCAACATCGACCGGGAGCTGCCAGGACTCATAGACTCGGTCGAGAGACCCTTTCTGGCTTTTCGCCCAAGGGATAGAAAAAAGAAAACACTGCCAGAGCTGTGGCGTCCGCGCACCTTTGGGCGCCCGCATTCCGCCGCCGCCAAGTGCCATGGAGCAGACGAGCGGCGACATGAACCGCCACTGGCAGGGCGGGGCCCCGCAGGCGGTTCAGGACGATGGCGTGAAGGACGGGCGCGTTTTCGTCTACCTGACGGCGGACTGGGCGCAGACGATACCGCCCCCGCCAACCTTCAAAATCCGCAAGAGGAACAAGGTCCCAATCAAGGTCGTGGTGCTCGGGCCGGACCACCACCTGCTGCAGTGCACGGCCGTCGTCGTGCTGCGCGGCTCGCAGTGCGGCCCCGTCCACCTGCAGATCGTGGGCCACGTTCGCGACTGGCTGTGGGCCAACTCGACGCCGAAGCAGACGCGGCGGCTGGTGGAGGGGAGCGGGCCGGTGGACTACATCAACATCATCTGGTGCGCGCCGTCGAGCATGGCGCTCTACCGCGAGGCGACGCGGGCGCATGGTTTGTGCGAGTACGAGTGGGGCGCCGACGGGGAGGTGTGGGACGCGTTCTGGTACATCTACAAGCGGAATCTGAAGACGCCGTCGTACGCGCACATCGGGCTCGACACCTCCGCCTCACTCGTCCAGCAGGGCCACGTGACGGGCGAGGTCAAAGCGTGCCTGCGCGGTGCGTGGGAGGCGTCGATGCAGGAGCACGATCAGGCGGGCGGCAAGAAGCCCAAGGGCGGCAAAAAGGGGGAATGTGCCGTCCAGTGAGCGGGGCTGCGATCGGCGGCGCTGCTGATGCGTCGAGGGGGAGCTCACAACAATGTGTTGAAATTTAAAGAGCCCGCGGAATCAAAAAACCTGTGGGGCCCGTTATTTATTCTCGTTAAGGCGATCATTAAACAAAGAGCCCCGTAATATTCCAAAGGTCGAAAACGGTTGACGACTGAAAGGGGAACCATTGAAGAAAACAGAACATGAAAGGGCCCCAAAAAATCTTCCTTAAACAAATGCCAGCTGGGAAAATATACAAGCGGTGGTAAAATCCAAGCGAATTTTTATCGAGAATGGGGACAGAGGTTTAAACGCGGACTATATGAGAGCAACGATATGTTGTCACTGCCGGAGCGGAGACGAGCAGCAACTTAATCAGTCACCGGTAGGATACGCCATCAACTACTGCCCGCGTTATTTCTGCAATGAGTCGAAGGTATACGCTCAAATTCTCTTGGCGACTGCAATTCTAGCCGGGGTCCAAGTAACCTCGGTAGATGCGGTTTCGCTCTACTTCTTGCGATCTTTTTCACTACTCTACATCCTAGGACTGC